TCTGAAAGTTTGTAGTAAGCCTGTCTACATAATTCGCGTTGAATATATAAGTTTTAAATTTTCGTTCATTAAGATTTAATACACTTCTTGGAATTTTATTGTAACAATTTACACAGAACCCCATAAAGGATTTCTGTACTTTGGACAGACGGAATCGTGGCACAGCCAGCCTATCTTTGCCTCTAGTATTAAAATTATGTCTATCGCTTCTTTTTTCAAATAATTGCAAATTTTTCCTTACGTACATAATATTTTCATATATAAACTGACAAGGTACCGTTAGGATATTTATCGTTTTAAATAGTTCTCTCAGAGATTCACGAGGGGACAAGTTATATATCGCTCGGATAGCCCGCTTTTGCAAAATAAATATTGAATCTATTTCCGCAGCTGTTCTAAATTCGGATGCTTTCCAAAAAGATATTGTGTCAAGAGTCCTCTTACTGCACGATGAATTTCTTTCGGTAATTTGGATTGCACTAACAATTGCGTTATGGCTATGATATCAGAAGCTCGCCATTTGGTCTTGTAGTTACTGAAAGAGGTTGCGCCATCCCATTAAACACCGCTTCATTATCCCAAGATCGATTAAATGTAGAGAGTCTGCAACTGGGATATCTAATACCATATCAATAGGTAATAGCAAAAGATCACTATCCATTTTATGGTGTGATCCGTATGTCTTATTTCGGAACCCCTCATCGGTTCTTAAGGGACATCTCCACCTTGGGAAGACGTTGCAATGCGACTAATATGAATACTCTCCAATCGATGTACATTTTGGACACCCATTCTGACTGTTGAAGTTAGCAATACCTTTAATAAATGCACGAGCTGGTGAGTCACAAATTATGGCCCGAATTTTAATTGTAATATGATTGCTTATGATTTCGGGGGTGGTGATGTGACTTTGCATGTAGGTACCGATCAGTGTGAGTTGGCTTTCGGTATACCCAGTTCGATAAGGACCCATCTAATCTCGCGGTTATTAAAATTACAATAACAAAAATTAAAACATTAAAATACCCGGTTGCACAACCGGGTCGAAACGTCAAGCCTACCAAGGTATTCAAATTATAATTTTCTTTTTTATACTTTTCCACTTTTCTCCGAAAGCCTCCTGTATTCTTAATATGTTTTGCTTTCTTCATGCTTGCAGAACGCTGTCCTTTATATACTCAATACACTTAAAATAAAATGTTTTTAACGTAAATTCTCTAATGAAAGAGGAAGCCGGCGTTTCACTAGAGTATACACTATAGAGTATCTAGTCATTGATTCTATTAAGTATGGACTTAAAAAAGTGCCTAACAAATCCATATAAAGACCTTTTTGATTATTTATAGAGTAATTGGTCTACAAATAATCGCAATTCTCAAAAAGTATTTGTGATAATAAGTCTATAGAATAATTGATCTACAGCAGCGCTTTTAACAGTGCGAATATAGTCCATAACAAATCAATTTTCTCTTAACTCAGTGTAATGAACTAATAAAGGTTTTAAAACAAGGGACACTAGATATTTTATTCTATTAGAATTTTAGTTCTTATCTAAAACCCTGTATAGAATGCCAATGTCTATAAAATAGCCATGATTAGTACTCCTATAGCATAAATAGATTTAAGGCGGCTGAAGTGTGCTACTTGGGCTATCTATTCACATTAATTTATATTATGATATATCACAAATCCCTAGTCCACAAAGCCAGTTGCCGCCATATCTACTAACAAGATAATCTAAGTACCTACCGAAAATTGTCTAAAGGGCCTCTGCGCAGTTGGCTTCGGCCCCTCGTACGCCTCCCAAATGACCGGTACCCTGAGGTCGAGTGGGTGGTAAAGACATATAAATATCTAATAATAAAACTGTTTTATTCAAGATAATAATGATAGGTAAGTATTATAAGCCTTATCTACGAATAGTCTTAGTAATACAACTTAACCTGGCAGGGGTCTTATAGACCTTTTTTTTGGTTTAACCCGCAACCCCGGCTGAACATCAGCCCTATAGGGAGGGGTCCTATAGACCTGCTATAAGACCCCTGCCTGATCAATACTCGAGGTATCAATATCTATAGTCAGAAATTTAATTCGATTCCTGATTTGACATGACCTATTGTCATTTTGTGAAATAATGATACCACATATAACAGTGTAGTGATGAACACAAAAATCGATAAACAATCAGTGAATCAGTTTCAGGAAGGCATTCAATAAATTACGGCTACCGAATGGTCTAAATGCGTATCCCATGTTGTCAAAATAGGGGAAAAAATGAGTAAGCTAGATATGTTAATTGACATTAAAAATCACAGACACAATTTATAATAAATGTTACAGAAAGTAACAGCGATAGCGATAGCGATGACGGCGACAATTTATAAAATTTCTGTTTTATTTGTCACGTTCCTTCATGATCACATTTTTTATTTATTTCACACACAATTACAAAAGAAAAGTCTCAGATCGTTAATTAATTGTCAAAACTAAATTATCTGATCAGAAATATTTTATTTCCTGATAAACTTAGTTTACGAGATTAAATTTATAAACGAGTGGAATCGATTCAGAAATATTCGATTTCCACATCGAATAATTTCGCAACGTCACAATTTAATACGTGTCATAACGTTGCAACACTGAAATTGTCAAATCTGGAATGGAATTAAAAGTCCGAGTACAGTATCTGGTATCAATACCTATATGAGTCAGGTACCTACAGGCAGTCTACTGGCTACTATCCTTAAAACGGTGTTACGACTATCACGCACTCTGCCTAGCATTGATCAATGCTCGCGTAAGTATAAGCAATCAATGCACATCATCAGATCATCAGCCCAAAAGTACCCACTGCTGAGCAAAGGCCTCTTTTCACACGGAGATAGTTTGAGCATTAATCACCATGCTTGCTCAAGGCGGATTGGCAATTTCAAACTTATAAATAGAAAGTATAATACTTAACAGCAACCCACATTGAGCAAGCGTTGTGATTAATGCTCTAACCTTCTCCGTATGAGAAGAGGACGATCGTGTTTCTCAACAAGTTGGTTGGGCACTTGGGCTCTGGTTTAAGATCCAACAATGGTATAAACGAAAACGTTTTTTGTTGGTTTTGTACTGTATTACGCATCTATACAGGGTGTCCGGTAAAGAATGGATAACCTTGAAATGCCTTTTAGTATATCCTTTGGCCATACCGAAAAAACAACGAAAAGGAAAGTACCATAGGTAGTACCTAAATTAATATGTCTTGAAGCAAAAGAACTGGGGCTAGAGGTAATACAAAATGATCCATTATCATATACGTTCATTACACTACTGACGATGATTAAACATTGCTTTTAAAATAAATTTTGCACGATGTCTATAATAAATGAAATCGCAAGTTTTTTACAAAAAAAAAATTGAATATTTTCTGAATGGCCATAAGATATACTTAAAAGTATTGCAAGGTTATCCATTCTTTACCGGACACCCTGTATATTATTATATTACTATACTACCTATGAAACTTGAAATAGTATACCTATAATCAAGTGCGCTCTTATATCTACAGACTTCTAAAATTTCTAGAATTTAGATAACTTCCTGACAAGAAAACAATTTAATACGGGAGAGTCAGTACAAATCGCCATTGAAGAATTTCTTGCCTCCCGTCTAGCTGATTCCTTCAACAAAGCTAACTATCAATGCGTTGGCAAAAATGCATCTATTGCATTGGTGCAATAGATGCATTTATGCTGCATCTATTACTTTGATTAGGAAATAGAAAATCATATTATTTTCTATTTCCTAATCAAATTCATTCCTTCATTAATTTCGTTATTTCGAATAAAAAGCAATTTAAAAGGTAATAAATCTATGTTTGTGATGAGGATTCTAGAAATTAAATTTCGAAGCAGATGTCTTTAATCGATAGAGATGTTATAGAATTATCGTTACTATTATATGAGCCAGCCATGATTATATGAGCTTAGCAAAAAATACCTAATATCCGTCTCTAGATCGAAAAGACCGCCAAAAATATTCTTATTTAACTGTTCTTTAACAAAACCGCATTAGAGTATTTTTTTTTCTATGACAGAATCCTGTATTTTGAGATCTTGATCAATAAGGCTTTGACTTTTGAATTTATTACAATGAAATGCTACACTGTGAAGCTAAACTTAGCTAGCAAGTCAGAACCTATAAAGGAAAAAATGAAACAACCTAAGTGCGACTAAAAACTGTTTTATTTCATATAAACATTATATGTTGCAATACATATCTTTGTTATAAAATATTTACTCCTAATAACAATGCAATCGCTATGCGACTCCCATAATATAATTTAAAACATTATTTCATTTTTCGCTACCTACTTACATTAACATATTGTCTATATTTATACAAGACTAGGTGAATGCCACATCAATGGTCATGGGTTCGATTCCCGTTCGGGCAAAGCGATTATTAATTTTTTACACAGGGCATGAAAATACGCCTCTTACTTATAAAAACATTGAATTTTGGATATTTTGCCCGATTCGGGCATCGAATCCATGATCGCGTCATTTAGTTAACAGCAAAATAAGTCAATTTAAAGTAAAACTATCAGTATAAGATGAATATTGATACATGATAGACAAAAATAATTGGGTGGTTTCTTAGGTCAAAAATAAATTAATTCGACGTTTCAATACAATAAAATATTGAAAAATAACTATACTTTTATTCATCGATCGATCGATACACTGAATTTTAGATATTTTTTAGCTAATTGTTAAGAAATAAGTAAACTATTTGACGCAAAAAGACTATGACGTCATAACTCAGTTTTTCATACACAATTCATAGAAAAATGTATCGTTTTTGACATTTAGATAAAAGTATTGAATTTAACTAGTTGGAAACTACCGCATTCATAATTACTTGATTTAAAAAACCTATGGCCTATCAGTTTACTAAAAACTTTAGGTTTACTAAAAGTAAACAATGTTGGTATGTCTTTTTCTATTAAAGAGCTCGTATGAAATACATACATAGATTATTTAAATTTAGTTTATAAGCTAGCATCCAGTTAGGTAAATACCTGATTGTTTACAATTAAACATTTTTACAAACAACGTTTAGATAAAAAGCCATGCTAACATTGTTTACATTTAGTTAATTACTAAATAGATAGACCAGAATAGGTCCATAACGGGTTTGGCTGCTACTGTATTTTTTGCTCAACAGATGGCGCTGTCTTTAATTCGCCCAATAGAGAATCAGCTATTGTTATACGATTTCTTCTGTCAACTAGTGTTTGGACCAATCCCTGGCTAGTCTAGCGCCATTGAAGAGCACAAGAACAGACCCATTGAATTGATTTTTCAATCAGTTTCAATAATCTTTCTATTGAAAAATTATTAAATGACTTCTCCCACCCAGGTTGAGATGGTTTTTAGTCAGTAAGAGTCTGACACTGCCTCTTACCCCACCCCAGGCGGGGGAAGAGTTAAGATGATTTCGTCCCCTTAAAAAGGTTCCAATTGATTTATAAATATAATAGACAGTATAGATAACTTATGCAAATAAGTCTTTTTTATGGTATAGGTCGGCAAACGAGCAGACGGAATACCTGATGGTAAGCAATATACGCCGAATATGAAGAAGGAAGACACTTACAAGTGCGTTGCCGGCTTTTTGTGGTAGGGATTTGAGGATTGGGGATAGGGGGAGGGGAAGGATTGGGGCCTCTAGTAACATCAATCACACGGCAAAACACAACGCTGTGGTTGTATCACGCTGGCGTACTGCGACGGAAACACGCGTTTTTATTATTTTACTCACATTTTCATAATTTCTCACTGCTTTAAACCTTCCCTAGAGTTCCACGTATATTTAAAAACTAACCTTAAGTATGTCAGTTCGGCCGTTTTAGAGATTTAGACAGACTAAAGCACAGATATTTTTGTCTATAATTCGGCTTATACTAGGGGACAACAGGATATTAAAATAAAATATCTATCTATTTAGTCCGTCAGTTAGATAGGACAAATACATAGACGAAATTATGTGATTATGTAGACGTAAAGACGTATGTAAAGATGGGCATTAAAATATAAATTAACAGTTCCCATTGACCGGTGTTTGGCAGAGTCCTTAGCCCGGCAGAAATGTTTCAGCGATTGATTGCCACCCATCCGTTGTTACCGTCAGGTAATTTGATTTGGATCAGTCGCACCATGCCTCCATTCTCATCATTAGCTACGATCTGAAATAGAAATATATGAACACGTTGAAGGACATTACCACCACTAAGTACATAATATAAAACAAAGTCGCTTTCTCTGTCCCTATATCCCTATGTATGCTTACATCTTTACGCAACAGATTTTGAGGCGGTTTTTTATAGATTGAGTGATTGAAGAGGAAGGTTTATGTGTATACTAGCATCCATTAAATAGTGAAGAAATTTAGTACCAGAACGGAAATATTGTCTATAATAAAGTGGTCCACACCCTCAAGTTTTATAGTCTGTAGACTTGGACTATGAAACTTCATATAGAATAATAGAAACAAGCAGCGGGTGAAACCGCGCTACAGTAACTAGTATTACATGTTTGTACGGATAAAACTTACTTCAGTCTGTTCAGACAATTGGTCAGCATTGACAGCTTCTAAAATTGTCGCGTCGGCCCTCTCTCCTATGTTATCTGCAACAAATATAGATTTCAATAAGTCACTCACTTTTCACTTTTTTAAATTGAATTGTAATCAATTTTATAATAGAAAGAAATAAGAAAATCAACCTTTAAATAATACAGTTAAGACTTACGTATAGTTAAAAGCGTAGACTCGTCTCCTTCTTGTATTAAATTCAATGTCGTTTTATCTGAAACATAATAAAATATTAAATCAAACAAATAAACCTTCATACCCGATTCTGAGTCTGAGATAAACACTTCATTACAATGGAGAGACTTTTGTGCAGTTAGAGAGACCAGAGTAAGGATATCGCTGTATCACATCATCAGCCTAAAGTGTCTACTGCTGAGCAAAGGCCTCTTCTCATACGGAGAAGGTTTGAGCCTTAATCACCATCCTTGCTCAAGGCGGATTGGCGATTTCAACTTATAATTAGAAATTATACAAGTCCAGGTTTCTCTACGATGTTTACTTTCACTGTATGTATGCCTGAATAGTCATAGCAAGTACATATAACTCGGAAAATGTCACATTGGTACTTGTCAGGTTTCGTTCCCTTACCCCATGCATGAGAAGCGCCTTAACCTCCGAGCCACCACGACGTTGGTATAAGCTATACTAGCACAGTACACGAGCCATAGTTCCAGACTCCGTCATATATTACTGACAACATTATAACTCACCACTATCCTGCAATATTAATTTCTTATCTTCAGTAATATAGAATTTGGCATCTTCTAAATTCACGTCAGCTTCTGATTTCACTGAAAATATTAAAAAAAAGGTTTTATAATACTAATTACGGATAGCGAAATAGGTCGTAAGTCATTATATTTTTAATGGGAAGCAATCGGCGCCGCCTATGAAGACTCATACTCCATAGGAGTTACTACAAGTGGTTTGCCGAACTATTGTGGGTTATTCTCGGAAGGGCCTCCGGTAAGCTCAGCCACACGGCGAACGACGGCGTTGTTTCACGCCGTAATTCTGTGAGGATGAGAATACTGTAGGGTACCACGGCCGATTGCTTACCTTCAGTTAGTACGGACGCTCGTTAGCCGACCGATGCAATAACAAAAATACTCACCGGACTTGATGCTAGCCTCCAATTCAGTCTGTGCCTCGAATATCTGTAAAAATATGTCATAGCATTACGGATAAGTCAAAATAATTTATTTTTGGAAAGTCAAGTAAAAAAGCCTTTATTTCAATTAGACCCTTTTTTGTGAGGGGAAAATCATCAAATGACTTCTCCCGCCCAGGGTCGGGAGGGGGAGAGTGTCAGACTCTTACTGACTAAAAAACCTTTTGTCAAAGCCCAATCGTAACGTCAACTTCGTCAGTTTATATTATGTTACGTTTTTCTACATTTTAGTGATTTTTATTTATTTTCACCAAGACATTCATTTAACTCCTAGGTATACCACGTTTACTGGTTGCTGTAAAGGCCAAACAAAATATTGCTATGCCAACTTACCGCATCAAATTTACTGGTTTTTGTGTCTAGGTCAGTTATATCCGTTGCATGCGAACTAGTTCCCTGGGAAAAGAAAAAGGACTTTAATTAAAAACTACAATCATACTTTAAAATCAAAATTATGTTTTGAAACAGTTACTCCACATTAGGTGTTTCTGTGGTGTCGTGGGTGCGTTTCCAAGCATACAATGTCACATACACATCACACCCAGACCCGGAGCAACGATTTGTGGATGTCATCAAGAAATACGGTAGTTTCCAACTAGTCAAATTCAATACTCTTTATGAAATTTGTATAAAACTCCAAATTAAATCGACATACCTAGTATTTTAGCGCACATATTTCTTAAAAATTTGCTAAAAAATATCAAAAATTTTGTGTACTGACAGACCAATGAATAAAATTATAGTCATTTTTCAATATTTTTGACCTAGGAAACTACCAAATTGTTCCGTGCGGGAATCGAGCTACCGACACGTTGTACAACAGCCTATTATAAAGCCACTGGGCCAACAGTGCAGCCTGACCCTCAGTAACGTGTTAATATTTATAAATATACGAACATTTTCGGTAACTTTGATGACTCTAGGTTGATTGACAACGATGGACTCCGCCAGGTGACCCTGTGGAAATAAAAACAGATTATGTAATGATGTCTAAAACGACTAATGGCTAAAATTAATAAGTGAATTGCATTGAAAACTGGATCGATCTAGGTTAATAAGTATTGCAGATATTGTAGTACCAGCGACCCGCCCCGGCTTAGCAATGGTAATACTAAATTTCCCCACTAGTTAAGGGATGTTATTTTACATAATTATAAACCTTCCTCTTCAATCACACTTTCCATTGAAAAATCCGCATCAAAATCTGTTGCGCAGTTTTGAAGATTTAAGCGTACATAGGTAATAGGAACAGAGAAAGTGACTTTTATACCATTTTTTATATTGAGTGCGGGAGACTCATGCTTCCGACTTGCTTGACCAGAGTGATACCACGGCCTCACAGAATTCCGGCGTGAAACAACCACAGCGTTGTGCTTCGCCGTGTAATTGAGGTTACCGGAGGCCTAATCCCCAAAAGGTCGGCAACGCAGTCGCAACTCGTACGTCGGTCCATGGGCGGCGCTGATTGCTTACCATCAGGTCGTTGCCGTCCTACGAGATAACAAAGTGCTATGTAGTATATGCAAGTTTTGTAAGGCTTACGCTGGTATTCATATGGGCGTAGAGCAGTTGTTTCCTCATGTACCCAGCCCCGCAGGCGACGCACTCGTAAGGTTTCTTGTCGCTGTGCACGAAGCGGTGCGTGTTTCGGTTGTCGCGAGAGTTGAACGATTTGCCGCAAATCTGGGGAATTATTACAAGTCCAAGTCAAAATGGAATATTATTATAGTCTGTCAGTCTGTTCGTCAGTGAAGCTAGGTGCTCGGTCCGAATTGGAGATTCATTATTTGTAATATATTTATATACACATCATCAGCCTTTAAGTGCTCACTGCTGAGCAAAGGCCTCTTCTCACACGGATAGAGTTTGAACATCAATCACCAAACTTACTCAAGGCGGATTAGCGACAAACTTTTAATTAGTAATTTGTAAGTCCAGGTTTCCTCACGATGTTTTCCTCCAACGTATGGCAGTAGTGTCTACAATACCGCCAACGTATCTTGGCGAGTGTAAAGTTAGCCGATTAGCTGCGCAGTACACAATTTTGTTCCCAAAAGATCCATTGCGCAGACAAACGGCTAACTTCAGACTCGCCAAGATACGCCGGCCGCATTGTAAATGAACAAAGAATCAACATATGACACGGAAAAAGTCACATTGGTGCTTGTCAGGTGTCAAACTTAGCTCCTTATGCGCGAGAAGCGGGCGCCTTAACCTTCGGGCCATCACGATATAATCTTTATTTTATATGCCATTTATAGTTTTAGTTTTTTTTTTTACATCACACGTTGTGTTAGCAGGAGACGGAATGAGGTAAAACTTAGTCAGTACGAATCTATTTTTGTGTGAGGGGAGAAAAATCATCAAACTAAAACGCTTGCTGAGTGAAAAACCACAGTTTCAGCTCCTGGTCTATGAATTAGTAGGTTCTTTCGTTAGATAAACGTTTTAACGGCGAATAGTCTGGTACGAATAAATCGGTTTCTCCAGAGTGATACCATAGCCTCAAAGAAATCCAGCTTAGGTTATCGAAGGCCTAATGCTAATCTATTAGTGTTCTGATGATATGAGAAGCATTGTTTGCTTACCCTTTTTCTGGAGGAGTAAGATAATCAAAAGACCTCTCTCCCACTCTGTTGGGCGACAAGGAGGGCCTCAATGACTAACCCCCCCAGTTCCTTCTCTTGCTCTAGGCCGAGGCCGCGGTGACTCAAGTCAGTAAGAGTCTGACACTCCCTCTCGCCCTATCCAGGGTCCCAGAAGTACCTTGTAGATCTTTCCCCCCCCTAACAAGCCCTATAACAGTATAGTTACCTCGCAGACGTAGGGCCTCTCCCCGGAGTGTATGCGGACATGTTTCTTGTAATGCTCGGGGTACACGAAGGACAGTTGGCACACGTTGCACTTCAGGGGACGCTCGCCCGTGTGCGTCGCCTTTATGTGGTACTCTAGTAACCTGGGACCACATATCATCATCATCAGCTTCTAAATATTTCTTTATGCAGCAAACGATTCTTCTTCAGAATTATCTACACCATATATATTATCTACACACATATATTATCTACACCATTTTACTATAGGAGGGTATATCACACCCGCGTGTAGAGTGGCGGTGGTGAATTAAGTAAGTGAGTAAGTACGCACCTCCTCCGCTTGAACTTCTTGGGACAGAGGGTACAGTGGTGCCTGGTGTCGTTGTAGTGCGTGGCGCGGCGGTGGGAGTGCAGGTTCGAGCGCTGAGTGAACCTCGCGCCGCACTCCTCGCACGAGAACGGACGCTCGCCTGCAACAAGGGGGGGGTCCCTATATCTATAGTTCCGACAGGGACATCGCTTTCTCACTCAAAAACTACCCGACCCAATGAAATGAAAAATAGTTGGAGTTTTATCAACTAGGAACTCCAATCTCTTTTGTAGTTTAGAAGTAAAATCTTGTTTCCATACCAGTATGTATCCGCATATGGTCCCTGAGCTCTGCCCTGCGCGCGAAGGCCTTCCCACAGTCGGTGCAGACGAAGGCCTTGTTCCCCGAGTGGACCACGCCGTGCACTTCCAGGTTGTGCTGAGTACTGAATGCTTTGTCTGGAAGCGGAGGGAATATTTTTAATATTTGGATGGAGTGTGTTAAAGTCAAGCTTGGCACGGCACGAATGGGTCGGCTCCACCGGAGTGATACCACGACCTGACAGAAAACCGGCGTGAAACAACTACAGCGTTGTTCGCCGTGTGAGTGAGGTTACCGGAGGCCCAGTCCTTCCCCTCTCCCAATCTCCAAAAGGACGGCGACGTTCGTAACTCCTTTGGCGTTGCGGGTGTCCATGCGCGGCGCCGATTGCTTACCTTCAGGTGTATACATATAATAGCAGGGCTAGTAAAAGTACTTACTGCATATATTACAGATGAAATCTTTGATTCCGGAATGAGTCTTTTCATGTTGATTGAGGTTTTGTTGTGTGAGGAACGATTTGCCGCATTGATTGCATTTAAACGGACGAGGTCGAACCTGAAAACATATGGATAAATACATTTTTACAAAGACAGTTTTTGATATGGTTAAAAATATACACTGGACAGCAAATAAATCGAGCCACTCGCTACCTACCTAGACACTCTAATTCGATTTTCTCAAAAACTAAAAAACCTACAATTATCAAAGTTGTACCTAAAGAAAGAGAGTTTCATGCTGATTAAAATCAGAGGAAACTCATTGTTATATTAGGTTTTAAGTTATTATTCTCCATTCAACTATCTCATGACTTTGTTGACAGTGTTATTTATTTCTTGGTTGTAATATTCGTTATTCTTTGATATTATGACTGACACATTATCTGCGAAAAGTATGCAAGGATAATTTGTATCTTCCATTTAGGTTTTTAATGTATAATAGGAATAGTAGAGGACCTAAAATACTTCCCTGAGGAACGCCTGTGGATTTTTTGTGACCCAAGTTAGATTTATATACAATTTCGCTTTGTTTAGTTTTATCTACGTTGATTTCTACAAATTGTGATCGTTTTGTAAGATAACTTTTTATCCGTCCATTTGCTTTACCGCGTAGTCCATATTTTTCTCATATTTTCAGGATTAAGTCATGAGAAACAAAATCAAAGGCCTTAGACATATCAAAGAAAATAACAGTTGTTTGGAATTATGCAGTCAATATTTTTAGAAGCTTGGTTTATCAAATTAAATGCCGCCATGGTTGTCGATTAATTATTTTGATATCTATATTGTTCTTTTCTTAGGATTCGAAATCTTTCAATAAAAATGGTAAGCCTGGAATGCAATTTTTTTCGTAAATATTTGCGAGTATAAGTAGCAAAACAATATTGGTCTATAATTGTCAATATTTTTTTGATTCCCTTTCTTTTAATTGGTTTAATTACTGATATCTTGTTGTCCGGGAACACGCCTGTTGATAGTGACTAATTAATTAGATGTACGAGAGTTGGGATAGTAGCAGGGTCTATGAATTTTATGATTATAGTGGTCATACTTTTTGATCATAGCCTGTGGAATCTTTTAGGGATTTTATGTCTCATCTAATCTTTTAGGTTTAGAGTAGTATTTAAATCGTAGATTTCTTTTAGTTTTTATTGCGTTTTTAAGGCTCTTAGAAATCCATTTTGTATACTTTTGAGTGAGGTTAACTTTGATTTTAATTTTAGGAAAACATAGTATCAGAAGCACTGCTCTCTTACTGACCGCATGTGTCTTGAGATGTGCCTGGTGCGTGTACTTGGAGGCGAAGGCCTTGTGGCAGAGTGTGCAGCGGTAGGGCCGCGCCCCCGAGTGCACGTTGTGGTGCTCCGCCAGCAGGCTGCGGCTACTGAAGCACTTCCCGCACGTGCCGCAGCGGTGCCCGGCCCCCGGCCCGCGCCCCCACCGACCCCGCGACCCCGCCGTCCCTCCTACACCTCAAGACGTGCCTTGCAGTTCTTCTTCTTGCAAGGAATTCTGAACCCCATCGTTACTTGTGGCGAGTAATGGATCCTGTTTGACGATCGTATGTGCTGGGCAAGTTGGTAGAGCCCTGGTTCAGGATCCAAAAAATGCTATAAATGTTCTTTTTCTTAGTGTTCTACCGTATGAAGCATCTACATCTACATTTACTATGTTACATTTATGAATGTAATACTACTTATGAAACTATACACTACACTACGTATGAAACTTGAAATTGTATACCTATAATGTAGTGCTCTCTGAATAAATGACAGTCTGTATTCATGTACAACATCTTTCGTTTCTTCCATCCTTACAGTGTGTCAATCCTTCGGCTCATAATACTGCACATCAGACGGTCTCTAAGCTACAAGAGCTGGGGAGAAGTTCTCCACCGTACCTACTCACCAGATCTAGCGCCAACAGACTTTTACTTTCTGCGAAATTTTATTAATTTCTTGTCGGGAAAATAATTCAATAGGTACCTACCTGACAGACAATGAAAATGCCTTTGAAGAATGTGTTGCCTCCCGTCTAGCTGATTTCTTCAAATAGGGCATCAATAAATGCGTTGGCAAATATGCATTTATGGTGATTTGGTGGATATGGTGATTTGGTGGATATGGTGATTTGGTTGATATGGTGATTTGGTTGATATGGTGATTTGGTGTATATGGTGATTTGGTGGATATGGTGATTTGGTGGGTATGGTGATTTGGTGGATCTGGTGATTTGGTGGATATGGTGATTTGATGGATATGGTGATTTGGTAGATATGGTCATTCATGGTTGATTACTTTGATTAGGTATTAGAAAAAAAATACGCTTAATTTATTTCGTGAAAACTGCTTTTCATAAGTGAAAACAGACAGACATATAATATGCATTTTTGTAAGTTACACAATTATCGTTACTTTTTGAGCCCGCCATGAGCTAAATAAACCTGTTCGTCTAGTCAAAGACAAATATGTTGGAAAATGGAAAAATTGCCTCTTCATTATGAAATCCGACTAGAGAGACTTTTTGAATATTTCGGGCTAGGACAGAATTATGTATTTTATGAATACAAGAGTCCGTATTTACAATTTGGAACGAGCACCTAGCTTCACTGACGAACAAACTGACAGACTACTATTCTATTTTGACGTTTCAAAAGTACCTATTTATGGTTTAGTTGGAATAAATGATTTTGATTTGATTTTTGACTTTTTAATTTTACAATGAAAGGCTAAGCGGTGAGTACCGCCGCAAGTCCTAGAGCGGCCGGCCTTCCTACTAATATTATAAAAACGTGAAAGTTCGTGAGAATGTATCGATGTTTGATATTATTCCACGCAAAAGGGAAAGCTAGTCGGCCTTTAGAGGAAGCATGAAATAACCAAGTGCCACTAAAAACTGTTTTATTTCATATAAACATTATATGTTGCAATACATATCTTTGTTATAAAATATTTACTCCTAATAACAATGCAATCGCTATGCGACTCCCATAATATAATTTAAAACATTATTTCATTTTTCGCTACCTACTTACATTAACATAATAATATTGTCTATATTTATACAAGACTAGGTGAATGCCACATCAATGGTCATGGGTTCGATTCCCGTTCGGGCAAAGCGATTATTAATTTACATCGGGCATGAAAATACGCCTCTTACTTATAAAAAACATTGAATTTTGGATATTTTTGCCAGATTCGGGCATCGAATCCATGATCGCATTTAGTTAACAGCAAAATTAGACAAATTTAAAGTAAAACTATCAGTATAAGATTAATATTGATACATGATAGACAAAAATAATTGGGTGGTTTCTTAGGTCAAAAATAAATTAATTCGACGTTTCAATACAATAAAATATTGAAAAATAACTATACTTTTATTCATCGATCGATCGATACACTGAATTTTAGATATTTTTTAGCTAGTTTTTAAGAAATAAGTAAACTATTTGACGCAAAAAAACTATGACGTCGTAACTCACTTCTCCATACAAATTTCATAGATACGTATCGTTTTTGACATTTGGATAAAAGTATTGAATTTAACTAGTTGGAAACTACCGCATTAATAATTACTTGATTTAAAAAACCTATGGTCTATCAGTTTAGATGGTTTACTAAAAGTAAACAATGTCGGTATGTCTTTTTCTATTAAAGAGCTCGTATGGAATACATACAAAGATTATTTAAATTTAGTTTATAAGCTAGCATCCAGTTAGGTAAATACCTGATTGTAAACATTTCTACATACAACGTTTAGATAAAAAGCCATGCTAACATTGTTTACATTTAGTTAATTACTAAATAGATAGACCAGAATAGGTCCATAACGGGTTTGGCTGCTACTGTATTTTTTGCTCAACAGATGGCGCTGTCTTTAATTCGCCCAATAGAGAATCAGCTATTGTTATACGATTTCTTCTGTCAACTAGTGTTTGGACCAATCCCTGGCTAGTCTAGCGCCATTGAAGAGCACAAGAACAGACCCATTGAATTGATTTTCAATCAGTTTCAATAATCTTTCTATTTAAAAATATTAAATCACTTCTCCCACCCAGGGTGAGATGGTTTTTAGTCAGTAAGAGTCTGACACTCCCTCTTACCCCAACCCAGGCGGGGGAAGAGTTAAGATGATTTCGTCCCCTTAAAAAGGTTCCAATTGATTTATAAATATAATAGACAGTATAGATAACTTATGCAAATAAGTCTTTTTTATGGTATAGGTCGGCAAACGAGCAGACGGAATACCTGATGGTAAGCCGAATACACCGAATATGACCAAGGTAGACACATACAAGTGCGTTGCCAACTTTTTGTGGTAGAGATTTGAGGATTGGGGATGGGGGGAGGGGAAGGATTTAGGCCTCTAGTAAAATCAATCACACGGCAAAACACAACGCTGTGGTTGTATCACGCTGGCGTACAGTGACGGCGTGGTAACACGCGTTGTATTATTTGACTCACATTTTCATAATTTCTCACCGCTTAAACCTTCCCTAGAGTTCCACGTATGTTTAAAAATTATACTTAACTATGTCAGTTCGGCTGTTTTAGAGATTTAGACAGACTAACGCACAGATATTTTTGTCTATAATTTGGCTTATACTAGGGGACAACAGGATATTAAAATATAATATCTATCAATTTAGTCCGTCACTTAGATAGGACAAATACATAGACGAAATTATGTGATTATGTAGACGTAAAGACGTATGTAAAGATGGGCATTAAAATATAAATTAACAGTTCCCATTGACCGGTGTTTGGCAGAGTCCTAAGCCCGGCAGAAATGTTTCAGCGATTGATTGCCACCCATCCGTTGTTACCGTCAGGTAATTTGATTTGGATCAGTCGCACCATGCCTCCATTCTCATCATTAGCTACGATCTGAAATAGAAATATATGAACACGTTGAAGGACATTACCACCACTAAGTACATAATATAAAACAAAGTCGCTTTCTCTGTCCCTATATCCCTATGTATGCTTACATCTTTACGCAACAGATTTTGAGGCGGTTTCTTATAGATTGAGTGATTGAAGAGAAAGGTTTATGTGTATACTAGCATCCATTAAATAGTGAAGAAATTTAGTACCAGAACGGAAGTATTGTCTATAATAAAGTGGTCCACACCCTCAAGTTTTATAGTCTGTAGACTTGGACTATGAAACTTCATATAGAATAATAGAAACAAGCAGCGGGTGAAACCGCGCGACAGTAACTAGTATTACATGTTTGTACGGATAAAACTTACTTCAGTCTGTTCAGACAATTGGTCAGCATTGACAGCTTCTAAAATTGTCGCGTCGGCCCTCTCTCCTATGTTATCTGCAACAAATATAGATTTCAATAAGTCACTCACTTTTCACTTTTTTAAATTGAATTGTAATCAATTTTACAACAGAAAAAATTAAGAAAAAACAACTTAAAAATAATTCAATAAAGCCTTACGTATAGTTAAAAGCGTAGACTCGTCTCCTTCTTGTATTAAATTCAATGTCGTTTTATCTGAAACATAATAAAATATTAAATCAAACAAATAAACCTTCATACCTGATTCTGAGTCTGAGATAAACACTTCATTACAATGGAGAGACTTTTGTGCAGTTAGAGAGACCAGAGTAAGGATATCGCTGTATCACATCATCAGCCTAAAGTGTCTACTGCTGAGCAAAGGCCTCTTCTCACACGGAGAAGGTTTGAGCCTTAATCACCATCCTTGCTCAAGGCGGATTGGCGATTTCAACTTATAATTAGAAATTATACAAGTCCAGGTTTCTCTACGATGTTTACCTTCACCGTATGTATACCAGTGGTGCCTGAATAGTCACAGAAAGTACATATAACTTGGAAAATGTCACATTGGTACTTGTCAGGTTTCGTTCCCTTACCCCATGCATGAGAAGCGCCTTAACCTCCGAGCCACCACGACGTTGGTATAAGCTATACTAGCACAGTACACGAGCCATAGTTCCAGACTCCGTCATATATTACTGACAACATTATAACTCACCACTATCCTGCAATATTAATTTCTTATCTTCAGTAATATAGAATTTGGCATCTTCTAAATTCACGTCAGCTTCTGATTTCACTGAAAATGTAAAAAAAAGGTTTTTATAATACTAATTACGGATAGCGAAATAGGTAGTTAGTCATTATATTTTGAATGGGAAGCTATCGGCGCCGCCTATGGAGACTCATACTCCATAGAAGTTACTACAAGTGGTTTGCCGAACTATTGTGGGTTATTCTCGGAAGGGCCTCCGGTAAGCTCTCTCACACGGCGAACTACGACGTTGTTTCACGCCGTAATTCTGTGAGGATGAGAATACTGTAGGGTACCACGGCCGATTGCTTACCTTCAGTTAGTACGGACGCTCGTTAGCCGACCGATGCAATAACAAAAATACTCACCGGACTTGATGCTAGCCTCCAATTCAGTCTGTGCCTCGAATATCTGTAAAAAATATTTTATAGCATTACGGAAAGTCAAAATAATTTATTTTTGAAAAGACTAGTAAAAAATGCCTTTATTTCAATTAGACCCTTTTTTGTGAGGGGAAAATCATCAAATGACTTCTCCCGCCTAGGGTCGGGAGGTGGGGAGTGTCAGACTCTTACTGACTAAAAAACGTTTTGACAAAGCCCAATCGTAATGTCAACTTCGTCGGTTTATATTATGTTACTTTTTCTTCATTTTAGTGATTTTTATTTATTTTCACCAAGACATTCATTCAACTCCTAGGTATACCACGTTTACTGGTTCCTGTAAAGCGCAAACAAATTATTGCCATGCCAACTTACCGCATCAAATTTACTGGTTTTTGTGTCTAGGTCAGTTATATCCGTAGCATGCGAACTAGTTCCCTGGGAAAAGTATAAGTACTTTATAAAAACTACAATCATACTTTAAAATCAAAATCATGTTTTGAAACAGTTACTCCATATTAGGTGTTTCTGTGGTGTCGTGGGTGCGTTTCCAAGCATACAATGTCACATACACATCACACCCAGACCCGGAACAACAATTTGTGGATGTCATCAAGAAATACGGTAGTATCCAACTAGTCCAATTCTCTTTAAGAAATTTGTATGAAACTCCAAATTATGTCGACATAGTATTTTTGCGCACATATTTCTTGAAAATTAGCAAAATTTTATTGTATCGAAACGAAAAAAAATTAATATATTTATTTTTGACCTAGGAAACTACCGAATTGTTCCGTGCGGGAATCGAGCTACCGACACGTTGTACAGCAGCCTATTATAAAGCCACTGGGCCAACAGTGCAGCCTGACCCTCAGTAACGTGTTAATATTTATAAATATACGAACATTTTCCGTAACTTTGATGACTCTAGGTTGATTGACAACGATGGACTCCGCCAGGTGACCCTGTGGAAATAAAAACAGATTATGTAATGATGTCTAAAACGACTAATGGCTAAAATTAATAAGTGATATGCATTGAAAGGTGGGTCGATCTAGGTTAACAAGTATTGCAGATATTGTAGTACCAACGACCCGCCCCGGCTTAGCAATGGTAATACTAAATTTCCCCACTAGTTAAGGGATGTTATTTTACATAATTATAAACCTTCCTCTTCAATCACACTTTCCATTGAAAAATCTGCATCAAAATCTGTTGCGCAGTTTAAAAGATTTAAGTGTACATAGGTAATAGGGACGGAGAAAGTGACTTTTATACCATTTTTTATATTAAGTGCGGGAGTTATGCTTCCGACTTTTGACCGGAGTGATACCACGGCCTCACAGAAAACCGGCGTGAAACAATCACAACGTTGTGTTTCGCCGTGTAATTGAGGTTACCGGAGGCCTAATCCCCAAAAGGTCGGCAACGCAGTCGTGACTGACGTCGTCGTCGGTCCATGGGCGGCGCTGATTGCTTACCATCAGGTCGTTGCCGTCCTACGAGATAACAAAGTGCTATGTAGTATATGCAAGTTTTGTAAGGCTTACGCTGGTATTCATATGGGCGTAGAGCAGTTGTTTCCTCATGTACCCAGCCCCGCAGGCGACGCACTCGTAAGGTTTCTTGTCGCTGTGCACGAAGCGGTGCGTGTTTCGGTTGTCGCGAGAGTTGAACGATTTGCCGCAAATCTGGGGAATTATTACAAGTCCAAGTCAAAATGGAATATTATTATAGTCTGTCAGTCTGTTCGTCAGTGAAGCTAGGTGCTCGGTCCGAACATCATCAGCCTTTAAGTGCTCACTGCTGAGCAAAGGCCTCTTCTCACACGGATAGAGTTTGAACTTTGTTTTACTCAAGGCGGATTAGCGACAAACTTTTAATAAGTAATTTGTAAGTCCAGGTTTCCTCACGATGTTTTCCTTCACCGTTTGTCAGTAGTGTCTAAATGAACAAAGAATCAACATATGACACGGAAAAAGTCACATTGGTGCTTGTCAGGTTTCAGGCCTTAACCTTCGGGCCATTACGATATAATATTTATTTTATATGCCATTTATAGTTTTAGTTTTTTTTTTATATCACACGTTGTGTTAGCAGGAGACGGAATGAGGTAAAACTTAGTAAGAGTCTATTTTTGTGTGAGGGGAGATATAATAAATCGGTTTCTCCAGAGTGATACCATAGCCTCAGAGAAATCCAGCTTAGGTTATCGGAGGCCGTGCTAATCTATTAGTGTTCTGATGATATGAGAAGCATTGTTTGCTTACCCTTTTTCTGGAGGAGTAAGATAATCAAAAGACCTCTCTCCCACTCTGTTGGGCGACAAGGAGGGCCTCAATGACTAACCCCCCCCCCCCCCACCCGTTCCTTCTCTTGCTCTAGGCCGAGGCCGCGGTGACTCAAGTCAGTAAGAGTCTGACACTCCCTCTCGCCCTATCCAGGGTCCCAGAAGTACTTTTGTAGATCTTTCCCCCCCTTAAGAAGCCCTATAACAGTATAGTTACCTCGCAGACGTAGGGCCTCTCCCCGGAGTGTATGCGGACATGTTTCTTGTAATGCTCGGGGTACACGAAGGACAGTTGGCACACGTTGCACTTCAGGGGACGCTCGCCCGTGTGCGTCGCCTTTATGTGGTACTCTAGTAACCTGGGACCAGATATCATCATCATCATCAGCTTCTAAATATTTCTTTATGCAGCAAACGATTCTTCTACAGAATTTCCTCTTGTTAGATATCACCACAAGAGTCCACTTGTTTTTCTATGAGACAGGTCTGCAAACGAGCTGACCGATTACCTGATGGTAAGCAATAGGCTCTACCCAATCTATACTTATATTACCTATAATGAGGTGAATTTTTTAAGTTTGTATGCTTGTAAGTTTGTATGTAGGGGGTAATCTTTGGAACCGCTGGTCGGATTGCCAAAATTCTTTCACTGATAGATAGCTACAATGTTCCTGAGTCCTATAGGCTATAAAACATCACGCTACAATTCAATGGAGCCGAGCAGCGGGTAAAACCGCGCGAGAATAGCTAGTGATATTATAAGTAAAAAGGTGGGTCACAAGCGCTCAGCAAGGGATATATTAAAATGTGGCTAACTAGCCACACTTTTCATATTTGTCTCTTTTTCACTCGCGATTATTTAATCATGCCATCTCACTTTGACGTCTAAACATACGAATTGTTCATGTGTGCCGTTTTTGAAAACCGAATTTGTTTTAGTTAACCTATCTACACCATTTTACTTATATCATTGGCTCCACCCATGGACAATCGCAATGTCTGCTGAGTAACCAGTACGTAGCTGGTCTATTGGTGGGTTGTGTATATCACACCCGCATGTAGAGTGGCGGTGGTAAATTAAGTAAGTGAGTAAATACGCACCTCCTCCGCTTGAACTTCTTGGGACAGAGGGTACAGTGGTGCCTGGTGTCGTTGTAGTGCGTGGCGCGGCGGTGGGAGTGCAGGTTCGAGCGCTGAGTGAACCTCGCGCCGCACTCCTCGCACGAGAACGGACGCTCGCCTGCAACAAGGGGGGGGGGGGGTCCCTATATCTATAGTTCCGACAGGGGCATCGCTTTCTCACTCAAAAACTACCCGACCCAATGAAATGAAAAATAGTTGGAGTTTTATCAACTAGGAACTCCAATCTCTTTTGTAGTCTAGAAGTAAAATCTTGTTTCCATACCAGTATGTATCCGCATATGGTCCCTGAGCTCTGCCCTGCGCGCGAAGGCCTTCCCACAGTCGGTGCAGACGAAGGCCTTGTTCCCCGAGTGGACCACGCCGTGCACTTCCAGGTTGTGCTGAGTACTGAATGCTTTGTCTGGAAGCGGAGGGAATATTTTTAATATTTGGATGGAGTATGGTTCAAAGTCACGAATTCATAGAAAAACGCTGCAATGAATGATGTTACCGCAGGACTAATCTCGTCTACAATGCCAGTCATCTTCTTTAATGTTAATGTGAATGCTATTTTATGACTTTTTATGACATACATATGTCGGCAAACAAGCAGACGGATTATCTAGTGGTAAGAAATCCGCCCATGGACAACCGCAACACCAAAGGAGTTACGAGTGCATTGCCGGCGTTTTAGGGATAAAGTTTTCCGATATTTAAGGATTGGGAAGGGATGGGGGGAAGGGGAAAGGTAGGACGAAATACAGCGCTGTGGTTGTTTCACGACGGTTTTCTGTGAGGCCGTGGTATCACTCCGGGCGAGCCGAGCCATTCGTGCCGCAGCATGGCTCGCCCACATTTCCCTCGGGTATGGTGAATACCAATGAAGCCTCACAGAAAATTGCCGTGAAACAACCACAGCGCTGTGTTTCGCCGTGTGAGTGAGGTTACCGGAGGTCCAGGTCTTCCCCTCCCCCAAACCCTTAAAGGAAGGCAACACGTTCTTAACTCCTCTGGCGTTGCGGGTGTCCATGGGCGGCGCCGATTGCTAACCTTCAGGTGTATATAACAGTAGGGCTAGTAAAAGTACTTACTGCATATATTACAGATGAAATCTTTGATCCCGGAATGAGTCTTTTCATGTTGATTGAGATTTTGTTGTGTGAGGAACGATTTGCCGCATTGATTGCATTTGAACGGACGGGGTCGAACCTGGGAACATATGGATGGTTAAGAATATACACTGGATAGCAGACTCTAAATCGATTTTCTCAAAAACTAAAAAACTACAATTATCAAAGTTGTACCTACAGAAAGTGCGTTTCATGCTGATTAAAATCAAAGGAAACTCATTGTTATATTCGGTTTTAAGTTATTATTCTCCATTCAACTATCTCATGACTTTGTTGACAGTGATATTTATTTCTTGGTTGTAATTTTCTTTATTCTTTGATATTATAACTGACATAAATATCATCTGCAAAAAGTATGCAAGGATAATTTGTAACTTCAATTTAGGTCATTAACATATAAAAGGAATAGTAGAGGACCTAAAATACGTCCCTGAGCAACGCCTGTGTATTTTTTGTGACCCAAGTTAGATTTATATACAACTTCGCGTTTTGTTTAGTTTTATCTACGTTGATTTCTACAAATTGTGATCGTTTTGGAAGATAACTTTTTATCCGTCCATTTGATTTGCCGCGTAGTCCATATTTTTCTCATATTTTCAGGATTAAGTCATGAGAAACAAAATCAAAGGCCTTAGACATATCAAAGAAAATAACAGTTGTTTGGAATTATGCAGTAAATATTTTTAGAAGCTTGGTTTATCAAATTAAATGCCGCCATGGTTGTCGACTAATTATTTTGATATCTATATTGTTCTTTTCTTAGGATATGAAATCGTTCAATAAAAGTGGTAAGCCTGGAATGCAATTTTTTCCGTAAATATTTGCGAGTATAACTAGCAAAACAATTTTGGTATATAATTGTCAATATTTTTTGTTTCCTTTTCTTTTAATTGGTTGAATTACTGATATCTTGTTATCCACGCCTGTTGATAGTGATAAATTAATTAGATCTACGAGAGTTGGGATAATAGCAGGGCCTATGAATTTTATGATTATAGTGGTCATACTTTTTGATCATAGCCTGTGGAATCTTTTAGGGATTTTATGTCTCATCTAATCTTTTAGGTTTAGAGTAGTATTTAAATTTATTTAAATCGTAGATTTCTTTTATTTTTTATTGTGTTTACAAGTCTCTTAGAAATCCATTTTGTATACTTTTGAGTTGGGTTAACTTTGATTCTAGTTTTAGGTAAACATAGGCTGAAGAACGATACAAGTGTTTCGTGAAACTTATTAGTAGCACTGCTCTCTTACTGACCGCATGTGTCTTGAGATGTGCCTGGTGCGTGTACTTGGAGGCGAAGGCCTTGTGGCAGAGTGTGCAGCGGTAGGGCCGCGCCCCCGAGTGCACGTTGTGGTGCTCCGCCAGCAGGCTGCGGCTACTGAAGCACTTCCCGCACGTGCCGCAGCGGTGCCCGGCCCCCGGCCCGCGCCCCCACCGACCCCGCGACCCCGCCGTCCCTCCTACACCTCAACGCGCTGTGCACCTCAAGACGTGCCTTGCGAACTGCAAGGCACGCAAGGCATCTTCTTGCAAGAAATTATGAACCCCATCTTTACTTGTGGCGAATAATGGATTCTGTTTGACGATCATAGGTGCTCGGCAAGTTGGTAGGGCTCTGGTTCAGGATCCGAACAATGCTAGAAATGTTCTTTTTTGTTGGTGTTATACCGTATGAAGCATCTACATCTACTATGTTACATTTATGAATGTAATACTACTTATGAAACTATACACTACACTACGTATGAAACTTGAAATAGTACACCTATAATGAAGTGCTCTCTGAATAAATGGCAGTCTGTATTCATGTACAACATCTTTCGTTTCTTCCATCCTTACAGTGTTTATAGCTTTACAGCTTTTTACCAACAAAGATGGGCATTACTGTAGAATCATTGAAAAACTGAACACTACGATGGTGAAGCTCGCAAGTCTCCAACCAGCTTCGGTCAATCCTTCGGCTCATAATACTGCACATCAGACGGTCTCTAAGCTACAAGAGCTGGGAAGAAGTTCTCTGCCGTACCTACTCACCAGATCTAGCGCAAACAGACTTTTACTTTCTGCGAAATTTTATTAATTTCTTGTCGGGAAAATAATTCAATACCTACCTGACAGACAATGAAAATGCCTTTGAAGAATGTGTTGCCTCCCGTCTAGATGATTTCTTCAAATAGGGCATCAATAAATGCGTTGGCAAATATGCATTTATGGGGATATGGTCATTTGGTGGATATGGTGATTTGGTAGATATGGTGATGGTTGATAACTTTGCTTAGGTATTAGAAAAAAATAATTTAATTAATTTATTTAATTTAATTTTAATTAATAATTAATTAATTTATTTTTTTTTTCTTAATTTTTTTTCTTAATTTATTTCGTGAAAACTGCTTTTCATAAGTGAAGACAGACAGAAATATAATATGCATTTTTGTAAGTTACACAATTATCGTTACTTTTTGAGCCAGTCAGATAAATAAACCAGTTTGTATAGTCAGAGACAGAAATATGTTGGAAAATGGAAAAATTGCCTTTTCATTATGAAATCCGACTAGAGACTTTTTGAATATTTCGGGCTAGGACAGAATTATGTATTTTATGAATACAAGAGTCCGCATTTACAATTTGGAACGAGCACCTAGCTTCACTGATGAACAGACTACTATTCTATTTTGACGTTTCAAAAGCACCTATTTATGGTTTAGTTGGAATAAATGATTTTGATTTGATTTACTTTTTGACTTTTAATTTTACAATGAAATGCTAAGCGGTGAATACCGCCGCAAGTCCTAGAGCGGCCGGCCTTCCTAATTATATTATAAAAACGTGAAAGTTCGTGAGAATGTATCGATGTTTGATATTATTCCACGCAAAAGGGAAAGCTAGCGGGCCTTTAGAGGAAGCATGAAATAAGCAAGTGCCACTAAAAACTGTTTTATTTCATATAAATATTATATGTTGCAATACATATCTTTGTTATAAAATATTTACTCCTAATAACAATGCAATCGCTATGCGACTCCCATAATATAATTTAAAACATTATTTCATTTTTCGCTACCTACTTACATTAACATATTGTCTATATTTATACAAGACTAGGTGAATGCCACATGATCATGGGTTCGATTCCCGTTCGGGCAAAGCGATTATTAATTTAGTACGGGCATGATAATACGCCTCATACTTATATAAACATTGAATTTTGGATATTTTTGCCAGATTCGGGCATCGAATCCATGATCGCATCATTTAGTTAACAGCAAAAATTTGTCAAATTTAAAGTAAAACAGTATAAGATTAATATTGATACATGATAGACAAAAATAATTGAGTGGTTTCTTAGGTCAAAAATAAATTAATTCGACGTTTCAATACAATAAAATATTGAAAAATAACTATACTTTTATTCATCGATCGATCGATACACTGAATTTTAGATATTTTTTAGCAAATTTTTTAAGAAATAAGTAAACTATTTGACGCAAAAAAAACTATGACGTCATAACTCAGTTCTCCCTAAAAATTTCATAGAAAAGTACCGTTTTTTATATTTGTATAAAAGTATTGAATTTAACTAGTTGGAAACTACCGCATTAATAATTACTTGATTTAAAAAACCTATGGTCTATCAGTTTAGATGGTTTACTAAAAGTAAACAATGTCGGTATGTCTTTTTCTATTAAAGAGCTCGTATAAAATACATACAAAGATTATTTAAATTTAGTTTATAAGCTAGCATCCAGTTAGGTAAATACCTGATTGTAAACATTTCTACATACAACGTTTAGATAAAAAGCCATGCTAACATTGTTTACATTTAGTTAATTACTAAATAGATAGACCAGAATAGGTCCATAACGGGTTTGGCTGCTACTGTATTTTTTGCTCAACAGATGGCGCTGTCTTTAATTCGCCCAATAGAGAATCAGCTATTGTTATACAATTTCTTCTGTCAACTAGTGTTTGGACCAATCCCTGGCTAGTCTAGCGCCATTGAAGAGCATAAGAACAGACCCATTGAATTGATTTTCCATCAGTTTCAATAATCTTACTGACTGACTTCTCCCACCCAGGTTGAGATGGTTTTTAGTCAGTAAGAGTCTGACACTCCCCCTTACCCCACCCCGGGCGGGGGAAGAGTTAAGATGATTTCGCCCCCCTAAAAAGGTTCCAATTGATTTATAAATATAATATATAACAGCATAGATAACTTATGCAAATAAGTCTTTTTTATGGTATAGGTCGGCAAACGAGCAGACGGAATACCTGATGGTAAGCAATCTACGCCGAGTATGAAGAAGGAAGACACTTACAAGTGCGTTGCCGGCTTTTTGGGGTAGGGATTTGAGGATTGGGGATAGGGGGAGGGGAAGGATTGGGGCCTCTAGTAACATCAATCATAAGGCAAAACACAACGCTGAGGTTGTATCACGCTGGCGTACAGCAACGGCGTGGTAACACGCGTTTTATTATTTTACTCACATTTTCATAATTTCTCACTGCTTTAAACCTTCCCTAGAGTTCCACGTATGTTTAAAAATTAAACTTAACTATGTCAGTTCGGCTGTTTTAGAGATTTAGACAGACTAACGCACAGATATTTTTGTCTATAATTTGGCTTATACTAGGGGACAACAGGATATTAAAATGAAATATCTATCTATTTAGTCCGTCAGTTAGATAGGACAAATACATAGACGAAAATATGTGATTATGTAGACGTCAAGACGTATGTAAAGATGGGCATTAAAATATAAATTAACAGTTCCCATTGACCGGTGTTTGGCAGAGTCCTTAGCCCGGCAGAAATGTTTCAGCGATTGATTGCCACCCATCCGTTGTTACCGTCAGGTAATTTGATTTGGATCAGTCGCACCATGCCTCCATTCTCATCATTAGCTACGATCTGAAATAGAAATATATGAACACGTTGAAGGACATTACCACCACTAAGTACATAATATAAAACAAAGTCGCTTTCTCTGTCCCTATATCCCTATGTATGCTTACATCTTTACGCAACAGATTTTGAGGCGGGTTTTTATAGATTGAGTGATTGAAGAGAAAGGTTTATGTGTATACTAGCATCCATTAAATAGTGAAGAAATTTAGTACCAGAACGGAAGTATTGTCTATAATAAAGTGGTCCACACCCTCAAGTTTTATAGTCTGTAGACTTGGACTATGAAACTTCATATAGAATAATAGAAACAAGCAGCGGGTGAAACCGCGCGACAGTAACTAGTATTACATGTTTGTACGGATAAAACTTACTTCAGTCTGTTCAGACAATTGGTCAGCATTGACAGCTTCTAAAATTGTCGCGTCGGCCCTCTCTCCTATGTTATCTGCAACAAATATAGATTTCAATAAGTCACTCACTTTTCACTTTTTTAAATTGAATTGTAATCAATTTTATAACAGAAAAAATTAAGAAAAATCAACCTTAAAATAATACAGTTAAGACTTACGTATAGTTAAAAGCGTAGACTCGTCTCCTTCTTGTATTAAATTCAATGTCGTTTTATCTGAAACATAATAAAATATTAAATCAAACAAATAAACCTTCATACCTGATTCTGAGTCTGAGATAAACACTTCGTTACAATGGAGAGACTTTTGTGCAGTTAGAGAGACCAGAGTAAGGATATCGCTGTATCACATCATCAGCCTAAAGTGTCTACTGCTGAGCAAAGGCCTCTTCTCACACGGAGAAGGTTTGAGCCTTAATCACCATCCTTGCTCAAGGCGGATTGGCGATTTCAACTTATAATTAGAAATTATACAAGTCCAGGTTTCTCTACGATGTTTACCTGCACCGTATGTATACCAGTGGTGCCTGAATAGTCATAGAAAGTACATATAACTTGGAAAATGTCACATTGGTACTTGTCAGGTTTCGTTCCCTTACCCCATGCATGAGAAGCGCCTTAACCTCCGAGCCACCACGACGTTGGTATAAGCTATACTAGCACAGTACACGAGCCATAGTTCCAGACTCCGTCATATATTACTGACAACATTATAACTCACCACTATCCTGCAATATTAATTTCTTATCTTCAGTAATATAGAATTTGGCATCTTCTAAATTCACGTCCGCTTCTGATTTCACTGAAAATATAAAAAAAAGGTTTTTATAATACTAATTACGGATAGCGAAATAGGTAGTTAGTTTTAATTATATTTTGAATGGGAAGCAATCGGCGCCGCCTATGGAGACTCATACTCCATAGGAGTTACTACAAGTGGTTTGCCGAACTATTGTGGGTTATGCTCGGAAGGGCCTCCGGTAAGCTCAGTCACACGGCGAACTACGACGTTGTTTCACGCCGTTATTCTGTGAGGATGAGAATACTGTAGGGTACCACGGCCGATTGCTTACCTTCAGTTAGTACGGACGCTCGTTAGCCAACCGATGCAATAACAAAAATACTCACCGGACTTGATGCTAGCCTCCAATTCAGTCTGTGCCTCGAATATCTGTAAAAATATGTCATATCATTACGGATAATTCAAAATAATTATTTATTTTTGAAAAGTCAAGTAAAAAAAAGCCTTTATTTTAATTAGACCCTTTTTGTGAGGGGAAAAATCATCAAATGACTTCTCCCGCCCAGGGTCGGAGGGGGGGAGAGTCAGACTCTTACTGACTGAAAAACGTTTTGACAAAGCCCAATCGTAATGTCAACTTCGTCAGTTTATATTATGTTACGTTTTTCTACATTTTAGTGATTTCCAATTAGTTTCACCACAACATTCATTCAACTCCTAGGTATACCACGTTTACTGGTTCCTGTAAAGGCCAAACAAAATATTGCTATGCCAACTTACCGCATCAAATTTACTGGTTTTTGCGTCTAGGTCAGTTATATCCGTAGCATGCGAACTAGTTCCCTGGGAAAAGAAAAAGTACTTTAATTAAAAACTACAATCATACTTCAAAATTAAAATTATGTTTTGAAACAGTTACTCCATATTAGGTGTTTCTGTGGTGTCGTGGGTGCGTTTCCAAGCATACAATGTCACATACACATCACACCCAGACCCGGAACAACAATTTGTGGATGTCATCAAGAAATAGGGTAGTATCCAACTAGTCAAATTCAATACTCTTCTATGAAATTTGTATAAAACTCGATATTTTTGCGTACATATTACTTAAAAATTTGCTAAAAAAATATGAAAAATTTAGTGTATCGACAGATCGATGAATAAAAGTATAATAATTTTTCAATATTTTTGACCTAGGAAACTACCGAATTGTTCCGTGCGGGAATCGAGCTACCGACACGTTGTACAGCAGCCTATTATAAAGCCACTGGGCCAACAGTGCAGCCTGACCCTCAGTAACGTGTTAATATTTATAAATATACGAACATTTTCAGTAACTTTGATGACTCTAGGTTGATTGACAACGATGGACTCCGCAAGGTGACCCTGTGGAAATAAAAACAGATTATGTAATGAGATTTCAAACGACTAATGGCCAAAACTTTCTAAGTGAATTGCATTGAAAACTGGGTTGATCTAGGTTCATAAGTATTGCAGATATTGTAGTACCAGCCACCCGCCCCGGCTTAGCAATGGTAATACTAAATTTCCCCACTAGTTAAGGGATGTTATTATACATAATTATAAACCTTCCTCTTCAATCACACTTTCCATTGAAAAATCCGCATCAAAATCTGTTGCGCAGTTTTGAAGATTTAAGCGTACATAGGTAATAGGAACAGAGAAAGTGACTGTTTTATACCATTTTTATATTAAGTGCGGGAGACTCGTGCTTCCGACTAGTTTGACCGGAGTGATACCACGGCCTCACAGAAAACCGGCGTGAAACAATCACAACGTTGTGCTTCGCCGTGTAATTGAGGTTACCGGAGGCCTAATCCCCAAAAGGTCGGCAACGCAGTCGCAACTCGTACGTCGGTCCATGGGCGGCGCTGATTGCTTACCATCAGGTCGTTGCCGTCCTACGAGATAACAAAGTGCTATGTAGTATATGCAAGTTTTGTAAGGCTTACGCTGGTATTCATATGGGCGTAGAGCAGTTGTTTCCTCATGTACCCAGCCCCGCAGGCGACGCACTCGTAAGGTTTCTTGTCGCTGTGCACGAAGCGATGCGTGTTTCGGTTGTCGCGAGAGTTGAACGATTTGCCGCAAATCTGGGGAATTATTACAAGTCCAAGTCAAAATGGAATATTATTATAGTCTGTCAGTCTGTTCGTCAGTGAAGCTAGGTGCTCGGTCCGAATTGGAGATTCATTATTTGTAATATATTTATATACACATCATCAGCCTTTAAGGGCCCACTGCTGAGCAAAGGATAGAGTTTGAACATCAATCACCAAACACACTCAAGGCGGATTGGCGACTTCAAACGTATAATTAATTTGTAAGTCCAGGTTTCCTCACGATGTTTTCCTTCACCGCTTGTCAGTAGTGTCTAAATGAACAAAGAATCAACATATGACACGGAAAAAGTCACATTGATGCTTGTCAGGTTTCAAACTCATATCTCCTTATGCGCGAGAAGCGGGCGCCTTAACCTTCGGGCCATCACGATATAATATTTATTTTATATGCCATTTATAGTTTTAGTCTTTTTACATAACACATTGTGTTAGCAGAAGACGGAATGAGGTAGAACCTAGTCAGTACGAATCTATTTTTGTGTGAGGGGAGAAAAATCATCAAACTAAAACGCTTGCTGAGTGAAAAAAACCCAGTTACAGCTCCTGATCTATGAATTAGTAGGTTCTTTCGTTATATAAACGTTTTAACGGCGAATAGTCTGGTACGAATAAATCGGTTTCTCCAGAGTGATACCATAGCCTCAAAGAAATCCAGCTTAGGTTATCGAAGGCCTAATGCTAATCTATTAGTGTTCTGATGATATGAGAAGCATTGTTTGCTTACCCTTTTTCTGGAGGAGTAAGATAATCAAAAGACCTCTCTCCCATTCTGTTGGGCGACAAGGAGGGCCTCAATGACTAACCCCCCCAGTTCCTTCTCTTGCTCTAGGCCGAGGCCGCGGTGACTCAAGTCAGTAATAGTCTGACACTGCCTCTCGCCTTATCCAGGGTCCCAGAATACTTTTGTAGATCTTTCCCCCCCCTAACAAGCCCTATAACAGTATAGTTACCTCGCAGACGTAGGGCCTCTCCCCGGAGTGTATGCGGACATGTTTCTTGTAATGCTCGGGGTACACGAAGGACAGTTGGCACACGTTGCACTTCAGGGGACGCTCGCCCGTGTGCGTCGCCTTTATGTGGTACTCTAGTAACCTGGGGCCAGATATCATCATCATCAGCTTCTAAATATTTCTTTATGCAGCAAACGATTCTTCTACAGAATTTCGTCTTGTTAGGTATCACCACAAGAGTTCACTTGTTTTTCTATGAGATAGGTCTGCAAACGAGCTGACCGATTACCTGATGGTAAGCAATAGGCTCTACCCAATCTATACTAAGTAATATTATAAAGAGGTAAAATTTTTAAGTTTGTATGCTTGTAAGTTTGTAAGTTTGTATGTAGGGGGTAATCCTTGGAACCACTGGTCGGATTGCCAAAATTCTTTCACTGATAGATAGCTACAATGTTCCTGAGTCCTATAGGCTATAAAACATCACGCTACAATTCAATGGAGCCGAGCAGCGGGTAAAACCGCGCGAGAATAGCTAGTGATATTATAAGTAAAAAGGTGGGTCACAAGCGCTCAGCAAGGGATATATTAAAATGTGGCTAACTAGCCACACTTTTCATATTTGTCTCTTTTTCACTCGCGATTATTGAATCATGCCATCTCACTTTGACGTCTAAACATACGAATTGTTCATGTGTGCCGTGAAAATCGAATTTGTTTTAGTTAACCTATCTACACCATTTTACTTATATCATTGGCTCCACCCATGGACAATCGCAATATCTGCTGAGTAACCAGTACGTAGCTGGTCTATTGGTGGGTTGTGTATATCACACCCGCATGTAGAGTGGCGGTGGTAAATTAAGTAAGTGAGTAAGTACGCACCTCCTCCGCTTGAACTTCTTGGGACAGAGGGTACAGTGGTGCCTGGTGTCGTTGTAGTGCGTGGCGCGGCGGTGGGAGTGCAGGTTCGAGCGCTGAGTGAACCTCGCGCCGCACTCCTCGCACGAGAACGGACGCTCGCCTGCAACAAGGGGGGGGGGTCCCTATATCTATAGTTCCGACAGGGACATCGCTTTCTCACTCAAAAACTACCCGACCCAATGAAATGAAAAATTGTTGGAGTTTTATCAACTAGGAACTCCAATCTCTTGAAGTTTAGAAGTAAAATCTTGTTTCCATACCAGTATGTATCCGCATATGGTCCCTGAGCTCTGCCCTGCGCGCGAAGGCCTTCCCACAGTCGGTGCAGACGAAGGCCTTGTTCCCCGAGTGGACCACGCCGTGCACTTCCAGGTTGTGCTGAGTACTGAATGCTTTGTCTGGAAGCGGAGGCAATATTTTTAATGTTTGGATGGAGTGTGTTAAAGTCAAGCTTGGCACGGCACGAATGGGTCGGCTCCACCGGAGTGATAAAACGGCCTCACAGAAAACCGGCGTGAAACAACTACAGCGTTGTTTCGCCGTGTGAGTGAGGTTACCGGAGGCCCAGTCCTGTCTCTCCCCCAATCTCCAAAAGGACGGCGACACGTTCGTAACTCCTCTGGCGTTGCGGGTGTCCATGGGCGGCGCCGATAGCTAACCTTCAGGTGTATATAACAGTAGGGCTAGTAAAAGTACTTACTGCATATATTACAGATGAAATCTTTGATCCCGGAATGAGTCTTTTCATGTTGATTGAGATTTTGTTGTGTGAGGAACGATTTGCCGCATTGATTGCATTTGAACGGACGAGGTCGAACCTGGGAACATATGGATAAATACATTTTAACAATGACAGTTTTTGATATGGTTAAGAATATACACTGGACAGCAAATAAATCGAGCCACTCGCTACCTACGTAGACACTCTAATTCGATTTTCTCAAAAACTAAAAACCTACAATTATCAAAGTTGTAGAAAGAGAGTTTCATGCTGATTAAAATCAGAGGAAACTCATTGTTATATTAGGTTTTAAGTTATTATTCTCCATTCAACTATCTCATGACTTTGTTGACAGTGATATTTATTTCTTGGTTGTAATTTTCTTTATTCTTTGATATTATGACTGACACATCTTCTGCGAAAAGTATGCAAGGATAATTTGTGAGTTCTATTTAGGTCATTAATGTATAATAGGAATAGTAGAGGACCTAAAATACTTCCCTGAGAAACGCCTGTGTATTTTTTGTGACCCAAGTTAGATTTATATGCAAGTTTGCTTTGTTTAGTTTTATCTACGTTGATTTCTACAAATTGTGATCGTTTTGTAAGAAACTTTTTATCCGTCCATTTGCTTTGCCGCGTAGTCCATATTTTTCTCATATTTTCAGGATTAAGTCATGAGAAACAAAATCAAAGGCCTTAGACATATCAAAGAAAATAACAGTTGTTTGGAATTATGCAGTCAATATTTTTAGAAGCTTGGTTTATCAAATTAAATGCCGCCATGGTTGTCGATTAATTATTTTGATATCTATATTGTTCTTTTCTTAGGATTCGAAATCTTTCAATAATAATGGTAAGCCTCTTTGATTATTAATATGTCTAGTTATAGCGTCAAGTGCGCGCAAAGGTGTCAAAAAGTGTCGGCCAACTGTTGGCCGACAGTTGCTTACCCGCCGATCAGTACATATCGTGTCGCTCTATTGTCACTACGCATGACGCCCGCTAAGAAAAAAACTAATACCAGCGATAAAATGACGGTATGTTCTATAAAAGTGTGCCAGAATTATAAAGGTAAGTAGCCAAGAAAATTACATATATTTAATTTTTGTTTTAATGCTTACCAAATGACGCCATATTTTTTCGTCTTATCAGTGTTGCCAGTTTCTGTTTTTCATTCTCCCAACTTAACGGCATTTTTGTGGGTAAATATTAGTTTGTTTTTGGTTACGTCTACACAATTTCGTTCATGTACTTTTTAAAGTTTTACTGGTCAAATGCAAATTGAACTCGAGTGCAAAGGGTTCCCAACAAAAACATTTTTTTAAATATCACTTTTTAAATCGTATATTTTCCTAGAATCTATGGGTACATATTATCTGTAGTATATTTTCTTAATTTTAGGCCTAATAATGTCGGAGATAAGGCGATAAATTATATAATAACTTCTGAACAGACTTTTCTTTATTACCCGACTTCCAAGAAGAGTTATGTTTTTTTTCTCGCATATATCCTACTATAATAATAAATGCGAAAGTTTGTATGTTTGTTTGTTTCTCCTTCACGCAAAAACTACTGAACCGATTTTGATGAAACTTGGCAGTAATATAGCTTATACATCAGAATAACATACAGGCTACTTTTTATACGGGTGCGCGATGCGAGTAGAACCGTGGGAAACAACTAGTCGTGTATATGTATGAGCGTAATATTCTTTATTACCTCATATTTTTGAAACGATATATATAAATATTATTGCGACACCTTTTCCCCGACGCTTTATTCGCCCGACGTTTCGGGTGAGTCCACCCGTCACCACGGTCAGTGCAATTCGACCGAAACGTCACGTCGGGTAAAGAAAAAGGTATTGTACCATTTTAGTAATAAGTATAATATTGCGAATAAGTCCCGATTTATACAAATATTGTAATACTTGTATAATTTACCTAATTGATTTAATTACAACATTCTACCACCCAATTTTAATTAAATAAGTGTCTTTAATTTATTTAAAACAGCAACAACTTAAATATAAAAATACACTAAAACTGAATAACACTAGGTACATACATACATACAACCATAAAGTTTTTTATTTATTCTATTTTTAATGTTATTTATGGGAGACTTTGTAGTAGCTGGTATCATTATTCCGTATTGTTTACGCACACAAAGACATAGACGCGCAGTGTAAAACGACGCCTGCACGAACACATGCTTGAAATAGTTGACTCGTTTTCTTTGTTATGATTGTAGGGCGACACTCCATCTAGACATATTAATAATCAAAGGGTAAGCCTGGAATGCAATTTTTTTCGTAAATATTTGCGAGTATAAGTAGCAAAACAATATTGGTCTATAATTGTCAATATCTTTTTGTTTCCCTTTCTTTTAATTGGTTTAATTACTGATATCTTGTTGTCCGGGAACACGCCTGTTGATAGCGACAAATTAATTAGATGTACGAGAGTTGGGATAGTAGCAGGGCCTATGAATTTTAAGATTTTAGTGGGTATTTGATCATAGCCTGAGGAATCTTTTAAGGATTTTATGTCTCATCTAATCTTTTAGGTTTAAAGTAGTATTTAAATCGTAGATTTAGTTTTTGTTGCGTTTTTAGGTCCCTTAGAAATCCATTTTGTATACTTTTGAGTAAGATTAACTTTGATTCTAGTTTTAGGTAAACATAGGCTGAAGAACGATACAAGTGTTTCGTGAAACTTATTAGAAGCACTGCTCTCTTACTGACCGCATGTGTCTTGAGATGTGCCTGGTGCGTGTACTTGGAGGCGAAGGCCTTGTGGCAGAGTGTGCAGCGGTAGGGCCGCGCCCCCGAGTGCACGTTGTGGTGCTCCGCCAGCAGGCTGCGGCTACTGAAGCACTTCCCGCACGTGCCGCAGCGGTGCCCGGCCCCCGGCCCGCGCCCCCACCGACCCCGCGACCCCGCCGTCCCTCCTACACCTCAACGCGCTGTGCACCTCAAGACGTGCCTTGCGAACTGCAAGGCACGCAAGGCATCTTCTTGCAAGAAATTCTGAACCCCATCGTTACTTGTGGCGAGTAATGGATCCTGTTTGACGATCATAGGTGCTCGGCAAGTTGGTAGGGCTCTGGTTCAGGATCCAAAAAATGCTATAAATGTTCTTTTTTCTTAGTGTTCTACCGTATGAAGCATCTACATCTACTATGTTACATTTATTAATGTAATACTACTTATGAAACTATACACTACACTACGTATGAAACTTGAAATAGTATACCTATAATGAAGTGCTCTCTGAATAAATGGCAGTCTGTATTCATGTACAACATCTTTCGTTTCTTCCATCCTTACAGTGTTTATAGCTTTACAGCTTTTTACCAACAAAGATGGGCATTACTGTAGAATCATTGAAGAACTGAACACAACGATGGTGAAGCTCGCAAGTCTCCAACCAGCTTCGGTCAATCCTTCGGCTCATAATACTGCACATCAGACGGTCTCTAAGCTACAAGAGCTGGGGAGAAGTTCTCCACCGTACCTACTCACCAGATCTAGCGCCAACAGACTTTTACTTTCTGCGAAATTTTATTAATTTCTAGTCGGGAAAATAATTCAATACCTACCTGTACCTGACAGACATAGAAAATGCCTTTGAAGAATGTGTTGCCTCCCGTCTAGCTAATTTCTTCAAATAGAGCATCAATAAATGCGTTGGCAAATATGCATTTATGGTGATTTGGTGGATATGGTGATTTGGTGGATATGATGATTTGGTAGACATGGTGATGGTTGATAACTTTGCTTAGGTATTAGAAAAAAATACGCTTAATTTATTTTGTAAAATCTACTTTTCATAATTAGTAAGACAAACAGACATACCTATTATAATATGCATTTTTGTAAGTTTCACAATTATCGTTACTTTTTGAGCCCGCCATGAGCTAAATAAACCTGTTCGTCTAGTCAAAGACAAATATGTTGGAAAATGGAAAAATTGCCTCTTCATTATGAAATCCGACTAGAGAGACTTTTTGAATATTTCGAGCTAGGACAGAATTATGTATTTTATGAATACAAGAGTCCGTATTTACAATTTGGAACGAGCACCTAGCTTCACTGATGAACAGACTGACTGACTACTATTCTATTTTGACGTTTCAAAAGCACCTATTTATGGTTTAGTTGGAATAAATGATTTTGATTTGATTTACTTTTTGACTTTTGAATTTTACAATGAAATGCTAAGCGGTGAATACCGCCGCAAGTCCTAGAGCGGCCGGCCTTCCTAATTATATTATAAAAACGTGAAAGTTTGTGAGAATGTATCGATGTTTGATATTATTCCACGCAAAAGGGAAAGCTAGCGGGCCTTTAGAGGAAGCATGAAATAACCAAGTGCCACTAAAAACTGTTTTATTTCATATAAACATTACATGTTGCAATACATATCTTTGTTATAAAATATTTACTCCTAATAACAATGCAATCGCTATGCGATTCCCATAATATAATTTAAAACATTATTTCATTTTTCGCTACCTACTTACATTAACATATTGTCTATATTTATACAAGACTAGGTGAATGCCACATGATCATGGGTTCGATTCCCGTTCGGGCAAAGCGATTATTAATTTACATCGGGCATGAAAATACGCCTCTTACTTATATAAACATTGAATTTTGGATATTTTGGCCAGATTCGGGCATCGAATCCATGATCGCATCATTTAGTTAACAGCAAAAATTAGTCAAATTTAAAGTAAAACTATCAGTATAAGATTAATATTGATACATGATAGACAAAAATAATTGGGGGGTTTCTTAGGTCAAAATAAATTAATTCGACGTTTCAATACAATAAAATATTGAAAAATAACTATACTTTTATTCATCGATCGATCGATACACTGAATTTTAGATATTTTAAACTATTTGACGCAAAAAAGCTATGACGTCGTAACTCAGTTCTCCATACAAATTTCATAGAAATGTACCGTTTTTGACATTTGGATAAAAGTATTGAATTTAACTAGTTGGAACCTACCGCATTCATAATTACTTGATTTAAAAAACCTATGGTCTATCAGTTTAGATGGTTTACTAAAAGTAAACAATGTCGGTATGTCTTTTTCTATTAAAGAGCTCGTACAAAATACATACAAACATTATTTAAATTTAGTTTATAAGCTAGCATCAAGTTAGGTTTAGATAAAAAGCCATGCTAACATTGTTTACATTTAGTTAATTACTAAATAGATAGACCAGAATAGGTCCATAACGGGTTTGGCTGCTACTGTATTTTTTGCTCAACAGATGGCGCTGTCTTTAATTCGCCCAGTAGAGAATCAGCTATTGTTATACGATTTCTTCTGTCAACTAGTGTTTGGACCAATCCCTGGCTAGTCTAGCGCCATTGAAGAGCACAAGAACAGACACATTGAATTGATTTTCAATCAGTTTCAATAATCTTTCTATTGTAAAATTATTAAATGGCTTCACCAACCCAGGGTGAGATGGTTTTTAGTCAGTAAGAGTCTGACACTCCCTCTTACCCCACCCCGGGCGGGAGAAGAGTTAAGATGATTTCGCCCCCTTAAAAAGGTTCCAATTGATTTATAAATATAATATATAACAGCATAGATAACTTATGCAAATAAGTCTTTTTTATGGTATAGGTCGGCAAACGAGCAGACGGAATACCTGATGGTAAGCAATATACGCCGAATATGAAGAAGGAAGACACTTACAAGTGCGTTGCCGGCTTTTTGTGGTAGGGATTTGAGGATTGGGGATAGGGGGAGGGGAAGGATTGGGGCCTCTAGTAACATCAATCATAAGGCAAAACACAACGCTGAGGTTGTATCACGCTGGCGTACTGCGACGGCGTGGTAACACGCGTTTTTATTATTTGACTCACATTTTCATAATTTCTCACCGCTTAAACCTTCCCTAGAGTTCCACGTATGTTTAAAAATTAAACTTAACTATGTCAGTTCGGCTGTTTTAGAGATTTAGACAGACTAACGCACAGATATTTTTGTCTATAATTTGGCTTATACTAGGGGACAACAGGATATTAAAATGAAATATCTATCTATTTAGTCCGTCAGTTAGATAGGACAAATACATAGACGAAATTATGTGATTATGTAGACGTCAAGACGTATGTAAAGATGGGCATTAAAATATAAATTAACAGTTCCCATTGACC